GTACAGCAGGAGGAACTACCCCCCCCTTTCCCCACCCAACCCCAGCTGGGTAGGATGTACCCCAGCCCCATTCCCTCCCTCCCTTACCATGGGGGCCATTAATCTGCCCCCCACGCCTGTTCCCTGCCCCCTCCCCATCCACCATAGACTTACCAGCTGGATGCAGCCGTATAGGCTATCAGTATCGGCCCCCAAATCTCTCTATGTACTTCTACTGTATTTTCTTAACTTAAAAAGACATTTAAAAGCAGAGGGCATGACATCTTCCACTAAAATGCCAAAGCTATTTACAACAAGATTTTCACTAAAATCAATTCATTTGGGATTGGACCCTTCCTACTACCGTCTCACTTTTTTCTACAAAAAAGCATGAAATACATATACGTAAGTCACACATTCGCCCCCACCCCCAAACTTCAGAAACTCTAGAGATTGTGATAACTCCACCCTTGGAGTTTAAGAGCAGGTTAATCTAATACTCGTCTGAAGTGAGCCTATTTTGATTCTACCTCTGCTGAGGCACCTTATTTCTGTAAGATAAAAAATGTCACTATATTCAGCAGCTCTCTCAAAAGAAAGCTCTGAAATTGGTGATGACAAGATGTGACTGCATAAGAAATCCACACAAACACACTAGATTCTGACCATACAATTTTACAACAAAGGCTTCTGATAGATAAGGCAAAGCTACTAACCAAGTATAGCATTTCCTAGGTGCATTTCCTCATTAATAAGCTAGAGCCCCAACTTGTTCCCTACTATGTTTTGGACACCAGGGGCCCTAGTAGATGTTACATTTAATTTGCAATTAATGTGTAATATAGCAATACATTTCAACCTATCACATATTCAAGCAATTTATTTGGAGTAGGAAGCATGATCTTCAAGTCCAATGCACTGCAAATCTCTCATCACAATTACGAATGAGCTTGCAATTCAGACATGGTCTCCAAGTCCTCTGGATATTGTATTTAAACAGGCTCAACATTCTTCATCTGATAAATTCACTGTAATAGGAACCAATGAGGCTTTTAAATCAGAATTAGGCATGCATCTATTAGTACCTGCCAAGGACTCAAGGCCTTCCACAGGTGTTAATATCCTTTCTATGCAGGGTCACCACACCTCAGGAAGCCTGTAGAGATCACATACTGCCAGAGAATAGTTGGCTCTAGGTACTAGCACGAAACTACTTCCAAGCCTCATTTCTCTGCTTATGTCCCTGGGCTGAGAGTTTGTGTTTTGCTACTTGAGTGCTTCTGGCAGGCCATTTGTTGTCTTTAACAATTTTTGCATGGACAAACATCCAGCAGGTAACAGGTTAGGTGCACCCAATTTAGATGCCAACAACCATTTTGTCATCATTTATTCAATCCCTAGCTTTTAGACACGACTCCTCCAATATCCCACTTCCCCGGAAGCGCATACTTACCACGATAGTGTCTTTTTGATGTTGCGAGTTGAAGAAGAAAGTGCTAAAAATAGGTATGTAGAGGCTGTCTGACAAGACAGTTAAGTAAGTCTCTGTGAATTCAAATGCTGGAGGATATTGTTGTACCAACTGCCAAACACAATCTAAGAAGAGCAGGAAAACAGGAGCCTAAATAATAACAAATATTAAATCAATTTCAGGAAAAGAAACAATGAAATCTGTCCCACCATGCAGCCAGCCTGCACTTCTGAATGATCTGGAATGTCTTTACACCTCAAATACCAATGAATGTTGTGCACACAGTTGTTTTACCCAGGTTTGTTTTGCTACAGTAGCAAAAGCAAAGCACTGCTAGGTGTTTTATAGACACTAGTGGTAGTTTAAAACTCTACTAGGTAGTAATACTTTTTATTTTGGCACTAGAAATGGAATACACCAGTTTCTGATGGGAACTGTGCATCTGCTACCATCATAAGATTAGCAACAAAAAACAAGAGCTTCATTTGCATAAAGAGCAACCAGGATCCAAGCCAAAACATGCTGTTGAAAACTACATTTTTCCTGCTCTTGAGGAAGGCAATATGATTGGCCTATGCCTGAAACTTAGAGTAACAGAAAACTAAGTTCAGCAGGAGATGCCAGGTTGAAAATAAAACATTGCATGGATTCGGTAGCCATGGATGTTTAAATTCACTTGTGAGTGATATTAGGCACCTTAATATTTTAATAGTACAGATTATTTGAAGGAATTATAGCTACAAATGAAAAGAGAAACATTCTAAAAAGCACATCCAGTTTTTCTAGTGCTAAGTCACGGCAGCCTTGAAAGTACCTTGCAGTCTAAAATTATCCTTGCATAAAGTTGTTTAAAAAAGTATTGTGACAGTGAATAGCAGAATTGCAGCTCCTAATCAAGGTAAGGCTTTAAAAGTGTTATTTACCATTCAAATAAAGAATGGTTGTCTGCAATCCATAAAATGAGTCTCTCAGAATATCCTCAGTGAAGATGCACTTTAGCCCAACACCCGTCCTTCTCCAGTGTGAAGATGTAGGTAACCAAGAGTCAAGAAACATACCTCCTCTTTGTCACTTTTACGCAAATGGTTGCAACGATCCAAAAAGCTATGTCCTCCTATTACCCACTCCTTCTGAATAAGGCTCTGAAAGCCGAACTTTGTTCTGCAGTACGAATCCATCATCACTTGGACTAGGCTAGATATTACACAGCACAAATCAGAGGCGTTCTCCTCTAGAAAGCAATATCAAAAGGACAAGGTTCAGTGGTATGTTCACTATCACTAGACAGAAAGTCTCCATTTTAGGATGGCCTTATTTTGAAAGATACTTATAGAAATACTGTTTTAATGGAGTGCCAAGTTCCAGTTTACCTATTTTAGGATACATGTTTAGACTTTCATGCCTGTAATAAAGCTGAAAACGTTTATTTGGTTGCTTAGAGTTGATTAACGCCAGGTACAGACAGTCAAAAAGCCCAAGGCTGGATCTATTTAATCTTTGCAAGTTAGTCTAAGTTGTGTAGACTGAACTGATAAGCAAGTGAACAAACATTCACTTTTGATTCCAGAAACGCAGCCACATGCCTGAATGAAATCCCATATGCATTTAGCAGAGCATGCTCATGGAATACAATACCACACAGTTTTGTATTAAAACTACACACATGATCAGCGGATTGATACCTCGAGGTCATTAACTGAAGTTGAATACCAAAACTTAACTTTTATGGTGTGTGCATTTGTTCTTATTTGAGCTCTGGCTTATTCCGAGCCAGACTATGAGCTGTGGTGAAATCAAAGACAAACTTGATTATTTAAGGATAGACATGAGACTGATGAGGGTCTTCAGTGATTACTTCACCCCTCATGCCTTCCACCTTCAGTCTAACATTTACTACCAGAAAAGGAAATGACAAAGAATGGCAAATTGAATGAGGGGGACAAAAAGAAAGGGAAAATTCCCCAACTTCTTTACAAGATGCATGCCAAGTTCTCTCAGTCATTTTGCTCCGTGGTACATCTGCTCCATCCCATGCTTCAGTTACTCCAACAGCTTGCAAAGGTTTATCTACACCAAGTATGCAGGAGTCTTGCTGGTGCTTACTTATATATCACAAACTTCCACATTCACCCTATTGTTTAACGTAACACATACTTGTCTATTTAGAGCAACACAGTCTCATGATACTTTAAGAGTTAATCCACAATTTGAGAAAAAACACATAACATTCTAAAAATCCAGTGCATATCAAATGCACTGGCGAAGCGGACCACCTTTAGATTCCGGACCAGTGCAGTTAAGATTGATTTTATGTGGCTGAATTATGCGCTGTATCATGCTGGTCATTCGTGACCATATTCAGCTCTAAGTTTAAGAGCTGAGGTTCTCAAAAGTGATATAACAAGAGACATACCTGATCTTATTTATGCATGTCTAATTAAACCATTAATTCTCAAATAAAATTTTACCATGAAAACCATAAAAGTCCCACAAGCTTGCAACAAATTTTCATATGGAAAACCAGCAAATAGATTTCCATACCCATACCCATTTAACAGTTTAATTATACTGAAGTTAAACAGTCCCAAAATTCACTTTAACACAGTTGTGCAGAGACCAAAACACACTAGCAAGAGATTCTGATTCAAATGTAGAAGTCCTTGAATATTTAATTCCAACCCCTTTGAGCCCCTCTTCAGCTGGGCCTATGCAAGCCAAATTTTAAACTAGGCGAAGCAGAAGTCCAGGGCAAGGTATCCTAGCAAATTGTTTCAAGTGAGATGCTATGAAACTTCTAAACATAGCATTAGATGCTTAGGAGTTTGAACCACTTATTTTCCCTTCCTTACACACAATTGAAAAATGATCATTTAAAATTCAGTATGTGAAGAGGCGGATAGTAATCCTGAAGAACTCTTACCTATAAGCAGAACATTTGTAGTCTGTCTTTCTAGCTGTTCAACCACCTCTACTGCTTTTTTCAGACATCGTCTATTGTGGTACAGAAAGAAAGACAAGCCTTGTATTTTCAACTGGTTAAGATTAAGTAGCATTATCAGAATTTAAAAATATGTGACCATCTGACATTATATGAACTATGGGTGCACCGATAAGAGATTTTGGGGGCCAATACCAATAGCTGATTTTTAAGGAAGCATATCGGCCGATACTGATCTGATTTCCGACACGCAGCACGGCAGCTTGAAGAGCTGTGTGCAGCTGGTAAGTCAGTTGTGGTGGAAGGGGAGGGGGAAGGAAAGGGCCATGGGCTGCTCAACTGGGGTGGGGCACGCGATAGAGCCATCTTCTGGGCGACTGTGGGGCAGACGTGTCCCCAGATCTGCACAGGGTGGGCTGCAGCTGCGGGCTGGGACCAGGTCTGTGCCAGGCTCTTCCCAGTGGGGGCTGGGTCAGGCTGCACTCGGGATGGGCAGCAGTGGTGCTGGGAGGGGGCTGCAGCCACCCCAACATTTGCTGCAGCCCCCCCTCCTAACACCACCACCCC